TTAACTTTTTTAGGGATTGCATAAGCTCATGTAGGAATTAACTCTGGTAGTTGATATGAATAAAGTCATCCCCCTCAACCCATTCCTCCTCCAGCAAACCTTTGTCCTTCCCTGATTCTCAGGTTAGCCTGAAGAATACATGTACATAAATGTAAGGCACTGAGTGCAGGAGACTCTCCATATGTCTTAGCTCTTTCTCCACTGCACGACCAGCGGACAGCTGCTTTCATTCACCACTTAAGACTCTCAAAACCTCAGAGTGATAACTCTGGAGTGCAAAAATGTATTCAATGTGTCAATGCAGGTCCAGGAAAAGGGACAGTTTTGTCCCTGCTGTGATGGGGTGAGATGCCCAATGGACAGACAGTGGGCACTGAGAATAGGAAAAGGACCAAGACAACTGAGACTGGAGAAGCTGGAGGGGGTTTCTAACGGGAGGTGCAATGTTTGGATTTTCTTCAACAGTTTAGGAAAGGAATGGAAACCAGTGTTCAGAACAATTCTAGCCAAAACCACGGACCCAGACTAGCAGCGCTGATGGCTGGAAGCACTCACGCCCCTGTCATGCACACTCTTGAATCTGCCTCCTCATCCATAACCTTGTCTCTCACTCCTGGTCTATGGCAAGGCTGACCATCGCTCTAGCTTCCTCCTGTTTCTGCATTGATTCTGACCTCCAGGACGTGTGAGACTAGATTAAGGGTTAAGAAATCTTTTGCCCGGTGACATCGCATTTCACAAATGCCAGACAACCATGATGTGACTTACACAGAGTTCCAGAGGAATACAAGCCCGGGTGTGCACCTGAGTATTAATTGATTTTGTGTTTAATATTAATGAGCCTATGATTTGGTCTAGTTGACCTTCAGATTCAAATTAGGTACTGATTAAATAATAAGACAGATGAAGCAGGATGTGTTTCAGCAGCACGTTTTATTCCCCCTGTAAGGTGCCTCAGCCTTGGCTGTGGGTGAGGGTAAACTAAGGAAAGTGTTGGAACAGCCAGAACATAGAGTTCTCCTTGACTTAAAGAGATTGACTGCATCTTAAATAATAATGGTAATATCTTGGCAGAAGCTTCAATCAGATTATCTGATATTTCTATGGATGTTGCATTTGTTTATATGTTCCCCTCAAGTGCTTGTATATTAGGTAATTTAAATGGCCTTAACCCTCATGCAGAATTTAAAGTGTAAAGCACAGTTGAATTAAGATATTATTTTGACCATTTGTAAAATGTTCTATTTTACGAATAATCTCAGAACTCCTATCATCCCACAGACATTTTCCCAGGCCGGCTTTACCTTGCGGTGAATTTCAGTCCATTCCTGGTTGCTACATCCCTGGCACGCACACCACATGGATGAATTATGCGTTAGTATTCCTCTTCCTGAAATCTCGTCCTCCCAATTCAACTCCTCCCCAACCCGATGGCTGAAATGACTCACTGGGAGCAGGTGTTCCAGTGTGTGGATCACAGTCTAGCTCTGGATCCATGAGCCACTCAATTGTACCTCCTTCTATTAGTGGCCCACACAGTTAGTTCTTCTGTGGAATAAGCACTTAGCACTGGTTCTTGGTTCCCAGTGGGAAACATGTCTAGAACATTAGTACAAAATCACCGGCCCAGTAGACACCAGGATGATAACGCTTCTTTGGAAATTCTTCACATTTCACATAACTGTGTCCAATTTTTTAAAAAAAATTCTTATCTCTAAACAAAGTGACATTAACCATCTCATTTATGACTTGTTTGTTTTCAGTCCTTGCACTCTGGAAACCAAAGTTTGTAACAAACGCAAAGCTAGATAACCAACAAGAAAGCTGGAGTTAACTGAATGGATCTCAAAATCCTTGGGAATTCTATTGGAATGAGAATAAGAAGCCAGACCAGAAGGTTGGTGATTCCAAAACCTAGGAAGATGCTTGGGCAGGATCAAAGACCGACAACAAAGTGAGGATGGCAAGGGCTCCTCGAGGACCTTTGATCAGCGAAAACGCTCAGCCACTTAGCTGGAGAGTGTAATAAGCATTTATAGAAGTGATCTTATTACTGCAGAGCTCTAAAATAAGCCCTGATGTCACTGAGGAGAGATATTTCTGCATGAAAGCTAATATTGGAGAATATTTGAAATGAATTCTCAACGCATTTGACTGCCTTTTAACCTCATCGTGACCTCAATCTTAGAGGATTTCAATGGAAAAATCCCCCCTTTTTTTTTCCATTTTAAAGGCATGCATCTATCCGTTAACAGGGCAGTCCCACAAGCATTAGACACTTGATCTAATCTTTGAATTACTAATCAATTAAAAATACATGCTAGTTGGGAAGAAAAAGGCAAAAATCTTATCTTTCATGTTCTATTTTTAATTGAAACTAGATAACATGCTAATGTGAATTTCAAAACACTTATTTTTCCTTCAACAAATAGGTTAATGGATATTAACTATTTAAGTAAAATCCTGAAAACTTTACATTTAGTCTTTGAGGGAATTGCATTTGAAATACATGATATAATTTCTTGGTGGAGTTACCACCATTAAAAGTTTTATATAAAAAAATCCTGTAAGTTGTCTAAAAAGATCCTGACAAGAGAAATTAATAGTGTGAGATCCTAAAAGCATCAAGAAAACTCTCAAGCTGGTTGTTTGTGTGAAGGTGTGATATCGCCCAACTAAACAACACAACAGGAAAGCTCTCAGCTTGAAGCACACAAATTAGATGATCTCTCTTTCCTTTTTCATAAACACAGCCATTCAACTTCATGACACTTTAAAATTTTTATCACAAACTAAATGATTGGAATGTTCAAATTTTTTATTTCCTGTCATTTCAGTGTGATTCTATCAGGTTTATAACTCTTGCTTTTTCTCAGCTGACAAAGAGTTTCTTACCAGAACCTGTGTGGATAAATGAAATCCTTTTCATTTTAATTGTTTAAACACATAGCAGATATTATTTTCTTATTTTTTTCTGTTTATTTATTTGAAAGGCAGAAAAAGAAAGAGAGGGAGAGAGGGAACACCTATCTGCTGATTTGCTCCCCAAATGCCTGCAACATCTGGCGCTGCACCAGACCAAATTCAGGAGCCTGCATCTCAATCCAAGTCTCCCGCATGGGGGACAGGGATCCGACTACTTGAGCCATCACCTGCTGCCAGAGTGCGCATCAGCAGGAACCTGGAATCCAGAACAGATTCAGGACTTGAACCCAAGTGTTTCAATATGAGATTCTGGCATCCAAAGCAGCCTCTTACTGCTGTGCCAAAAATCTGCCACATCACTTAGATTTTATATATACTAAATGGTTTTAGAACCAAAGACATAAGCAAATACATTTTAATAATATAAAAGAGGTATCAAGAGATTCATTTGAGAAGTGGCAATGAACATGAAAAGGTCTACTCCAATTGCAATAGTATAGTGGATGCTGTGTTAGGTCCCTGGATGAACCTTCAAGAACGAAGAATTTCTTATCTCAGGTGCTATACTGCTTTCTGGCTCAACAGAAGAGAATCATCTCACCCAAATTCACCTCCTTTTCCCGGGCAGCCAGTGTGTAAATGACTTATCCCTGGGAGCTTTCAATGGCCTGACTCTCACTCTGACCATGGACATCTCGGTGAAGGTCGCACCATCTTCAAACCTTCCATAGGGTCAACTGACTTCCTCTGAGAATGCATTGCAGCTGCACTTCCCTCTCCACCCAGTTCTACTTTTTTTTTTTTTTTCTCTCTCTCTTACAGATTTTGATCCCAAGAGCTTTCCCTCATAAACGTTTGCGTGCTAATCTCCATCTCCCGGGAAGCGGGATCTGCATGTGTGCCGGAGTATTCTATAGATTCTGTTCTTGTCTCCATTCTACAGAGGAGAAAGCTGAAGTGTACTTTACCTGTTGTCCCTCGTTAATTCTTTGAATTACCTGTCAAAGGTCACCAGAATTCCAGAGCCAGGATTTAAACCCCAACCCTCTGTAGCTCAAGTCCACGTTCTTGGTGAGTACCTCACCACACAGGACATTTCATTAAAAAACAAAACAAAACAAAAACGACCAGGAAATGTAAACTGGAGCTAATAATGCAAATGCTGAGTATTGAAATGTCAAGACCACTTTGATTTCCTAGACACCAATTCAAAGAGAAGCAAATATAAATAGAAAACGGAATGTATTGTGAATCATTCCAAATCGAAGAAATGCATTCAACATGTTGAACTAGAAGTTTCAAGAAGTTACACAAGTTATCAGATGTCCATCTGTACAAACATAGCCATCCATTCTGTCATTCATAGAAGGAGTTTTAGTAGTTACCAGTGACAGACATAAAATAATAATGCCTCGATGTGTGGGGCTTCACAGTTTACCGGGATGGGGAGAAAGGAAAGGACTATTTTATTTTCTTTGAGATATATACTTTTAAAGTTGTAACAGCATCACATCAATGTCTCCACTGCTTTTCCTTCCAAGAAGAGTAAAACTTTTCTTTTAGTTACTTCCTCTTCTAGGGACACTTGTGTCAGTGACATTGTCTCCTAGTAACTGTCTACTGAATAAAGAATTATGCTTTTGCCAAAGACTTACTTCTCAGGATACCTTTCAAACATCTCTTTATGAGATGATGAAACTCTCTGGTAGGTGGTCCTCACAGACTGCTCTTCTTAACTTGCTCCTGATAATTAACTGGGAATAGCAGAACCAACTCTCTGTGCTGTCTCAAATAACCCTTTTTCCTAAACATCATTTGTCTGATCATTCTCTTCTTTCATAAACATTTATTTTTCAGCAGAACACATGTAAATGTATATATACATTCTAGAAAGGATAGGCAAGAATACAATGCAGTGGGTGGGATATTTGAATGGGGTGGAAATAGAGAAGCTTAAAGACAATTAGATTTGCTGGCTGTTCCATCCCACCCCCAGCCCCCTATATAAACAAAGCTGAAGTAGTTTTCTTTGAAAAAGTGTGTGTGATTTTTAGAGGTAGGAAGCAGCCTCATACCTTGTTCTTTGCAGACTTCAACTCCTTCCTGTGATGCAGGGCTGGGCACAGTGGTGGTGTTGACAGCATCTGTAAGAGACAGAAACAAGGCCTCAGACTCTACTGTCAACTGACGCTTTCCTGTGCCCACACCACCCTCCCCACTGCACTGCAGAAAGAGTGAGCCCGTTTCATGCTGTAAGACACAGAATGGTTTTTGAAGGAGTTCGTATTTGTGATTCCTTTAATAATAAAACAGAAACCTTCAGTGAAGACAGAGACCCATGGACCACAGGCTATATTTTTGGTGAAGAATACTTCAAGGGAACTTCAAAAAGCTCAAGAAAAATGGAATTAAAAATATGTTGTTGTTTGCAAAAAAAATTGATATCTGGGGCTGTTGCTGTGGCTTAGCAGGTAAAGCCGCCTGCTGCAGTGCCAGCATCCCATATGGGAGGCGGTTTGAGCCCCGGCTGATCCACTTCTGATCCTGCTCTCTGTTATGGCCTGGGAAAGCAGTGGAAGATGGCCCCCAAGTCCTTAGGTCCCTGCACCCACAGGGGTGACCTGGAAGAACTCCTGGCTCCTGGCTTCAGATCAGCCCACCTCTGGCCATTGGTACTGTTTAGGGAGTGAACCAGCAGATGGAAGACTTTCTCTCTCTCTGCCTCTCTGTAACTCTGCCTTTCAAATGAATAAATAAATCTTTTAAAGAAGTTGAAATCTGTACATAGAGGGGTCCTTTAGAAAGTTCATGGAGATTATGTATCATGAAAAAAACTGTCTGGATTTAAAAAAATTATTTTTGCACCAAAATAAATCAATTTTTAAATTCCACTTTTCCAGGAACTTTTTTGAAGTACCCTTGTATTTGTTGATAGTAGTATGTAAACTACTATGATAACATTTCGCTTCTTCCACATCTCTGAAAGAACAGTATATTCTTTTTCTGGGTAACAGATTGTGAGAGAAATCATATTTCTTGCAAGTTTCTACAAAGTGTTTTTATGTGTGTGTTTTTAAAAAATTGGGTTTTTCTTAGCATAGCACTTCTGCTGCATTATGCCAAGCTGTCAAACTGCAGGGAACAGCTCCGTGGCTGTCAGTGCAGGGGCCTGGGAGAATGGGACCATTCCAAGGAAGGCACTGGAAGCCTTATGGAGGTATCCAGCTGTGTCTCCAGCATGTGGCACACGTAAGTCCATTCTGTCTCCATTTCCAGAAACTACCACCATTGCTTTCCTGCAGTAGTCTTCTAACATTGCTTCTTTTGATCCATTTTCTTCTTTTTTTTTTTCTCAGAAACCTTTTATTTAAGGTATACAAACTTCATGCATTTTAGAAATACAACTTTAGGAACACAGTGATTCTTCCCACCGTACCCACCTCCCACCTGCATTCCCATCCTTCTTCCTCCTCCCTCTCCTATTCCCATTATAATTTTTTACTAAGGTCTATTTTAAATTAACTTTATACAAATAAGATTAATCCTACACTAAGTACAGAATTCAGCAAATAGTATGAAAAAAAAAACTTAACATTCGAGACAAAGGTTGTTTAAAGTCATTACATCTCCAAGTATTAATTTCATTTCTATAGATTACCTTTTAGGTGCTCTATTAGTTACCACAGATCAGGGAGAACATACGGTATGTGTTTCCTTGGGACTCGCTTATTTCACTGAGTATAATCATTTGCAGTTGCATCCATTTTGTTGCAACCAACAGGATTTCATTTTTCTTTTACCACTCTGTAGTACATGGTGTAAATATCTCATAATTTCTTTATCCAGTCTTCAGTTGATGCGTGCTTGGGTTGATTCTATATCTTAGCTATTGTGAATTGAGCTACAATAAATATGGGGGTACAGATAACTCTTTCATATGCTGATTTCATTTCCTTTGGGTAAATTCTTCGGAGTAAGATTGCTGGGTCATATGGTAGGTCTATATTCAGATTTCCAAGGTATCTTCATACTGTCTTCCACAGTGGCTGTACCAGGTTACATTACCACCAAGAGTGGATTAGGGTGCCCTTTTTCACACATCCTCACCAGCATTTGTTGTTTGTTGATTTCTGTATGAAAGTCATTCTAACTGGGGTGAGGTGAAACCTCATTGTGGTTCTGATTTGCATTTCCCTGTTGGCTAGTGATCCTGAGCATTTTTTCATGTGTCTGTCAGCCATTTGGATTTCCTTTTTTGAAAAATGTCTGTTTAAGTTCTTTGCCCATTTCTTAACCAGATTATTTGTTTTTCTGTTGTTGAGTTTCTTAAGCCTTTTATAGATTCTGGATATTAATCCTTTATCAGTTGCATAGTTTGCAAATATTTTCTCCCATTTTGTTGGTTGCCTCTTTGCTGAATGTTTCTTTTGCAATGCAGAAGCTTCTCAATTTGATGTAATCCCATTTGTCATTGACTTTGATTGCGTGTGCTTCTGGGGTCTTTTCCAAGAACTCTTTGCCAATGCCAATGTCTAATAGGGTTTCACCAATGTTCCCTAATAATTTGATGGCATTGGGTCATGGATTTAGGTCTTTGATCCATTTTGAGTTGAGTTTTGTGAAGGTGTTAGGTAGGGGTCTAGATTCATACTTCTGCATGTGGAGATCCAGTTTTCCCAATACCATTTGTTGAAAAGAATGTCCTTGCTTCCTGGGATTGGTTTTAGCTTCTTTGTCAAAGATAAGTTGAGTATAGATGTGTGGATTGTTTTCTGGAGTTTCTATCCTGCCCCATTGGTCTATCCATCTGTTTTTGTGCCAGTAGCAAGCTGTTTTGATTATAACTGCTTGGTAGTTTGTCTTGAAATCTAGAATTGTGATGCCTCTGGTTTTGTTTGTGTTATATAAAATTGCTTTAGCTATTCTGGGTTTTCTGTGTTGCTATATGAATTTCAGCATTGTGTTTTCTATGTCTGAGAAGAATGTCCTTGGTAATTGATTGGTATTACATTGAATATGTAAATTACTTTTGATGTATGGACATTTTGATAATATTGGTTCTCCCAGTCCATGAACATGGAAGATTTCTCCATTTTTTTGTATCTTTTTCTGTCTTTCTTTAATGTTTTGTAATTCTCATCATAGAAATCTTTGATGTCCTTGTTTAAATTTATTTGAAGGTGTTTGATTTTTTTTGTAGCTACTGTGAATGGGATTGATCTTAGAAGTTCTTTCTCATGCATGGCATTATCTGTGTAAACAAAGGCTGTTGATTTTTGCACATTGACTTTATATCCTGCTACTTGACCAAACTCTTCCATGAATTCCAATAGTCTCTTAGTGGAGTCTTTTGGATCCCCTATTTATAGAATCATGCCATTTGCACATGGGGATAGTTCAACTTCCTCCTTCCTAATTTGTATCCCTTTGTTTTATTTTTCTTGCCTAATGGCTCTGGTTAAAACTTCTAGGGCTATATTGAACAGCAATGGTGAGAGTGGGCATCCTTGACTGGTTACAGATCATAGTGGGAATGCTTGTTGCTTTTCCCCATTCAATAGGATGCTGACCATGGGTTTGTCATGACCTGTCTTGATTGTGTTGAAGAATGTTCCTTCTGTACCCAATTTTCTTCAGGTTTTCATCATGAAAGGGTGTTGTATTTTATCTAATGCTTCTCTGTTTCTATTGAGATTATCATATGGTTTTTGTTCTTCAATTTGGTAATGTGATGTACCACATTGATTGATTTGTGAATGCTGAACCACGTGGTGCTGCATACCAGGGATAAATCCAATTTGGTCCAGGTAAATGATCTTTCTGATGTGTTGTAGGATTCAATTGGCTAATATTTTGTGGAGGATTTTTGCATCTATGTTCATCAGGGAAATTTTGACCCATTTTCACTCACAGGCAAAGTGAGCTTTATTAACACTTAAGTCATGTTTCTCTGATACTTAGAACTTTCTGTTAACTTCATTTTTGTAGCTCTAATAAAAGTAAGTCTTATTTAGCCATAAATTATCTGGCTGTATGATTTCTTACCAAATCTGACACCATGCTACCCTTCCATCATCTCATCATGGAACTCTCAATTTAATAATAACTCTGATGGAGAGTCCTCCTCTAATCCAACCAACAGAGAGTTGTCTTCTAGATATTCCTGTGTTACCTTACTTCCCTGTAAGACACTGATAATGGTCTGAAATTTTTATCATTGTTTGATTCGCTTATTGGTTGGACTCCTCCCGCTAGAAGATAGACTTTAGGGAAGCTGGGATGTTGCCTTTATTATTTGCTTCTACATTCATGGCACCCAGAACAGTACCTGGCACAAAACACATCCTTGTTATGTATTTGCTGAATGACTTCTCAGTAAATCATATATACAACTTTGAATTGATTTGATAATACACATCAAAACTTCTGTTTTGAGATCCATAGTCAAAAGTGTCGCTCCCCCTCTTCGTGGAGGAACGACACAGGACCCTGCGCTGTTCTTTTGTCTGCTCGGCCCTCCCCGGGTTTGCTGCTGGTTCTTCCCGGGTTGGCTACCGACCCTTCCACCTCCGTGGAAGGGCGGTTCTTCCTGCCACTTTCCCCACTTCCGTGGGGGAGCGGCACACCGCCGGCCGGCTCTCTCGGGGGCTGCTCAGGTGTTCCTTCAGATAGATGTTCCTGGTGCATGTTGTCTCTCTCCTCCTTTATAGTCCTCTTCCACCAATCCCAACTCTGCTACCCACACGCCGAGTACACTGCTCTCCGCTGCTCTCCTCCAATCAGGAGCAGGTCCTGCTGTTTATTGGTTGAACTGGAGGCAGCTGTGTAGAAGCTGTTACTCCCTTCTCAGCGCCATATTGTGGGAGAGCAGATGCATAGAATAAGTCTTAATTCCAGTAATTTAGTCTAGTCCGAGTTGCTCCCAGTTGCTCCCCACAAAAAGTAGAGCTATAAGTTATAATTCAATGAAAAGAAGATTTTTAAAAGGATTTATTTATTTATTTGAAAAACAGCATGGCAGAAAGAGAAGGAGAGACAGAGCGTGACAGAAGTGAGAGAGGTAAAGATCAGTCTCCCATCTGCTGATTTACTGCCCAGACAGCCACGACATCCAGGGATGGGTCAGGTCAAAGCCAGGAGCCAAGACTTCATCTGGGTCTCTCACCTGGGTATCAGGGGCCCAAGTACTTGTGCCATCCTCTGCTGCTTTCCCAGACACATTATCAGGGAGATCAGTCAGAGGCGTGGCAGCTGGGACTTGCTCTGGCACTCTGATACAGGATGCCAGCTTTGCGAGTGGCATCTTAACCCACTGTGCCACAACGCTGGCCCAGTAAACAAGTTACATTTACTTCAGAAATACAGCTGGTTAAAGGGGATTTAATTGTATATCTCTGCACCCTGATTAGGGGACTATGGGGTAGGCAGAGAGAACATAACAATGCATGTTGACAGGGGCCAAGATCATAAACACATGTGACCACTAGACTCCATACTAATCAGCTGGTTTACTTGGAATAGCAACAGGAACCACTCAGGGATGTAGTCGGGGCTCTCTGTTACATCAAGAGGTTCCCACAATGCTCTCAAGAGGTGGAGGAGAGGGCTTACATTCTCTCCCTCTGCCCATAGGCAAGGTGATTGCAAATCCTTCCAAAACCTATCTGCTCTTAACTGATTAAGAGAAAAATGATTAATTTTTAAAAGATAAAGCACAGGAAAAATCAGTTTGCATCAGTGTGTATGAGCGTATATTTGAATATGGGTATGTGTATGTATAGAGGTAGGGAAAAATCTATGTTGAAAAAGACAGCTTGGGATAGAGCATTGAGAGAATAAAACCCATGAGACCGCAGCAGTCATAGAACGGCCTCAGCTGTCAGCAGTTGGTTGACTAATACTTGTCAGCCTCCGACAGTAAAAGCAGTGACAGCTTTTCACATAAGACTCATCTTCCACAGAGCATAATGATGTGTGGGCTGGGGCCGAGGGCAGGGAGGGGAGGTTTGGATAACAACAGCTTGCTGTATCAGAAATGCATTTCATTACAAGGACTGTGTTTCGGTAAAGGGAGCCAGCTGACCCAGTAGCAGGTACACAAGGTCCTCTCTGCCTTGCTTCAGTGCTTTCTCTGATTGGCCTTCTTCAATTCCATCTTCCAGGTTAATAATAAAAGCTTTCTAGTTCCCTAGAAAAAGTTCCAAGGTTAATGTAGGAAGTTTTTAGTGAAACACTTATCGTACTTTTTGGTTTAATTCCAAGAGTTCAGCATATGGTCGAGGACGTGCCTGGCGCACATTAGACAGAGCCCACTATTTCTAAAAGGCCCCTTCATGGGGCTCATTAGGAGTGGGAGAATGACTTAGAAACCAAGGGGATGAAGGATATTTTTATTTTTGGGGTTATGTTGCTAACTGTGTGACTGTGCCTATCATCCTTTTAAAGGAGAGCACGCTTGAGTACAAAATTGGGTAGGAAGAGATGATAAATCAAAGATGATTTCCATCTCTTTTGAGCTTTAAGTGCTATTTTATTTAAAAATGCTCAATTTATAATCTACTGTGCCGAATCTATGGCGTTCAATTGACACATCTGTCCTTTAGCAAATAGAGGGATGACAGGAAGGTTCGCAGTCTCACTTAGAGCTCTGTGTAGCGGGTAGCCAGCCTCCATAGCATCATCTCCTGCAAGGTGCAGAGACATAACCAGAAAACTCCTCACAGTTCAGTGCAAAACAGCAAAGAACATTCCACTCACTGTGCCTCTTCTTCATTTCCTTTGAACAATTTCATTTCATTTTTTCAAACCAATCTGCTAGTTTTGGCCTGACCTTAGCCAGCCAAGATGACGAGGCATTTCCAACCACTGCTTGCTTCTCTTAGAGTATCAGCAAGCAAACCGGTGTTACAGGAAGTAAAATGGCTTTAGTGCATGAGACATGAGAGTGTACCATTCTGTCCGGAAGCACGCTCACGTCGTGGTTAACAGAGCTGGAGACCAGAATGAAGAGTGGAGGTAACCTGGTGAGTAGGTATAAGCATTTTCAGACAATAGCAGTGAGTAAAGTTATTGTTCACCTCTGTGGATGAGGCCTAGGAGACTCCTCAAAAGAAATCTGAGCCCACCTGCTTCTTGGCTCTGTTCTTCCATTTCCTCCGCACCTTGCTTTTCCTCGGGACCGTTCTCATCTTTCAAGAAAACCACAGAGGGGAAAAAAATACATCAAGTCAATTTATGAAATATCTCTTTATGGCTAATATGCAGCGCTGAAATTAATTGTAACCAATGTAGCATGACTCTCCATAAAGCAAGTCAGAGAGATGAATCAGAGGCATGAAACAGAAAAATTACCTACATAAATAGGTACATTTATGCTGGTCCCTTCTCACATGATTTGCTGGATGAAATGTCGAACTGCAGTAAACAAAATTCACTCAGCAGTCCTGGTAATGCCTCTCTCCTTGCTTGGCATTTCCCAAAATGCAATACAGATTTCAATTCCAATCTGTTTTTCTCCTTTGACTTCAGTAACATGGACTGTGCAAAGAAGCTTGGCTGATTGAGTTTCTATGCCTTTTATTTTTCTGTTTGAAGTATGTTGCAAAAAAAATCTATTTTCACTTAACTTGTACATGACAGTTTAACATACCTATGCAATGAAATACTTGGCCTTGAACAGAATATGTTGGTCCAAATTAGGGCATAGTATTTGACTCTGTGGCAAACAAATGGCTGGACAGTTACAATGAAGGCTATATACTAGCAACCATCTAAAATTATCTTTTGTTTTAAAATATGTACAACATCTGTGGATTTTACTTGTAGAAAAAGCTCAACTTTCTAAAGGCAAGTAGAGGCATGGGTTTACAACTCTTTGCCTGGATGGTTTGCAAACTGCTTTTTGCTTCGAAAAAAAAAAAGACACCAGAAAAGAAATTGTAAATATGTGTATGGACACAGAAATAAAAACATAAAGCATGTAGCTGAATACTGAGAACAGAGAAGCACAAGTCATCAGCACAGATTAATATGGTTTAAAGATGGTCACATATCCTTTGTTTCTCGAGAAGATCAGTCTATTCCCCTTTGTGTTTGAATTCTGATTGGGTCTGTGACTTGTTTAGACCAATGGAATGTGATGGAAGTGATGTTTTGGGACTTCCAAGCTGCCCTTAGGGGACTGGCAGCTTCTGCTTCCTCCCTCTAGAAGCCAGACACACACACACACACAAAAAACTAAAGAAATTCAGGCCAGTTCATTAACTGGAAAGAGTCACGTGAGGAAGAGAAGGGCCATGCTAACAAGCATGGAGGGTCAGACATGTGATGAAACCTTCTTGCACTTTTCAACCCAGCCCAGGTGCCTGCTGAGTGCAGCTGGGTGATAACTTCAGCCAATGCCACAAGAAAGCAGAAGAATCTTCCAGCTGAACCCCATTTAAACTCCTGACCCAGGAGCAGGCCCAAATCACTTAGCCTTGTTACGCTTAAGTGCTGTGGCCCACCATCTGCTCCTACCACAGAGGCAAGAGGATAGGGTCCTCCCCCGAGGAAGCTTTTACCAGTAAAGCCGAAAGAAGAACTTCAAAGCAACGGGGAAGCGATTTTACCAAGCAGCTCAGAAAAATAACCCACGGAAGAGAGTTTCGGTTGGGAAGACACTTGGATTTGACCCAGTGAAGGTAAAATAATGTTTATAATAGGAAAATGAAAGAGAGAGAGAGAGAGAAAGGGGGGGGATAGAGAGAAGATCTGAAGTTGGGGAGGGCTCCAGTCAATGAATACACAAAAATGTGCAAAATCTCCCCTCTATTTGCTCATCAAGGTGCCCTTTGATATGGGAGACACAGTGTAAATTTTAATGTATTCCTGAGGATGGGGTGGGGGAGGAGTCGAAGGTTCTAAACGGCATATAATTATGTGACTTGGTTTCACTTCTGGTGCTCCCTGTGGGGATGGGGATGGCTTTTCATCTGCAAGGGACGGAGTCTTCGCAGCTGTTCTGCTCCCTTAATGAGGCCAAATTGGTGCAGGAGCATACACCCAAAGCTTCACCACTATTTCCTCCCTTCCTTGGGAGAAATCTGCCAGCGTTTCTGTCTCCCCAGACAGATCTTATAATTCAGATTTTGAATCTTATAATTCAGAAGTGTTCAGGTGACAGGCTGCCTTTACAATGAGTCTGGTTACCACCTCTGTTACCGAGTGGAGATAGCTCTGTTATGAAGAGGGGAAGATAAGAAGAAGAGCAATTAAGTCCAGGAATGTGAGAGATTGGTTCCTGCAGTTTTAAATGCACATAAAGGAAATTCACGGTCAGACTTCAAATCCAAGCTTCTAATATCAACAACTGGTCTGGCACTTTACCTCATCTACTGCTCTTGGATTTTCACCCTCAGTCCCCGTGCAGGCCACTCCTCTCCCCGACACAGGCAGCTGTGGTGTGCTTTTGTTGTTCTTTTGAACTCTTAGCTGCACAGTTCTCTATTTGCAGTTTTTCTGCCCTTGGGAAGCAAACTCAAGCAGCGTTTGGCACGTTTATCGTGGAATAAATGCCTTCTAGAAGAATGCTGGATTTGCCATTTGAGTAACATGCCCTCGGATGCAAGGTTCAAGTGGATCGTTTTCATAAATTTCCAAGACACTGCATCCTCAAATCCAGCAGGGGGAACCAATGTAGAAGTCATGCTTTCAAAGCCAAGCATATGCATTCTTGGGCAATTAGATTAGCATTCATTTCCCTCGCTTTTAGAAGGGCATTTTGGTGGCTTTTAACTTTCCATCCATTGAAAATGACTCAAATGGGTGACTTCTTAGAGGAACAGTGGGTTTCCACTGGTAGAAAAAAAAGGTCACATTACACAGCTCCCTTAAGTAGTTGATAATCACAGGTTTCTTTTTATCAGCCTTATCTGTCTAGCTACCTTCACAGGAAGCACATAAACAATAAAAAGCTAAGTAGAGTGGGGATGTAAACTTGTGGTTTTTAGAAGTGATTCTAGAAGGTTTACAAAATCATTGTGAAACAAATGATACAAGAAATGCCAGGCTATTTTGTTAGCTTGAAACTGTTGCACAGAAGTCAAAATCTCATGGCCAATACACCTTTTGAGATCCCATACTTACTTCAGAGAATACATTTCCATAGCATTCATGGTGACTGTGATATAACATTTAGTTTCCCATGCCAGAAAGCACAGTGACTTGAGAGAAGCCAACTGGTTATATCCTTCTCATTTGTCTAGTGTTCAAACTGTGCCTCTCACTCACCCAACTTATATTTGTTGAGCAAGTACTTTATGTAACAATATCTTGTAAATTTTATGGGAACAAAATTAGGAGGCTCCTGCTACAAAGTGAATGTAGTTGGAAGTAATAACATCGGTAGGACTAAGATAAGAACGTGGCTCATGTTTAACTCCACTTGGGAGAGTTTCTCAAGGACAAAATCTCAACACACTAGCCACGAATTGCTATCCTGATGTTTTCAGTTTCTTTTGTGAACTGTACAAGAGGATGGGAAGAAAAAGGGGAAGTGAATTGGGAAACAATCTCCTACTGCCTTTTCTTTTTTTTCCCCTTAATTTTTATTTATTAATTTTTATCTGAGCAGAGAATGGGGGAAGAGAACTCCCATCTGATAATTTACTTCCCATTTGCCCCCAGCAATCAAGGCTGGCTCAGGTTGAAGCCAGGAATTGAGATCTCAGTCCATATCTCTAACGGACATGGCAGGGATCTGCTTAGTAGAGCCATCACCTGCTGCCTCCCAGCATGGAAACTAACAGGAAGCTAGGCCTGGGAATAGAGCTTAGACTAAAATCCAGACAGTCTGATATGGGATTCAGGTGTTCCAACTGGTGGCTTCACTGCTGTGCCAAATGCCTGTTCCCTCCCTCTAGTTTTTCTTACATAGGTCTCAAACGTTTTGGATGCAATGTATAGGCAATTTAAATACAGAGGTTTGCAGATTGGATTATTTGTTTAATTCTTCAGTCTCTTATAACAGAATCATAGATCTAGTGTCCTCTCACTGTGGACAGAAAATATTTGCATCCTATTGATGTTGGGTTTGGATTTGTGTCATTATTTGGACAATGAAATGCTAGGTGACATGATACGAGCAAAAGGTTAAAATGTGCTCCTTAAATGGATCTGTTCCTTATTCTTCTGAGATTTGCCATGGCAAGTAGATGCCCTGATAGCTGCTGCTTTAAGGAGAATGAGATATGTGGAGAAGACTTGAACCCAAACTATGGTTTAGAGCCATATCCAGGTAACTCACATCTTGAAATAGAACAGGGGCTGGCACTGTGGAGTAGCAGGTAAAGCTGCTGCCTGCAGTGCTGGCATCCCATGTGGTTGTCGGTTCCAGTCCTGGCTGCTCCACTTCCAATCCAGCTCTCTGCTTATGGCCTGGGAAATCAGTAGAAGATGGCCCAAGTCCTTAGGACCCTCTGTCTGCATGGGAGACCTGATTCCTGACTCCTGGCTTCAGATCGGCCCGGCTCTGGCCATTGTGGCCATCTGGGGAGTGAATCAGTGGATGGAAGATTTCTCTCTCTCTCTCTCTCTCTCTCTCTATCCCTCTCTGTAACTCTACCTTTCATATAAATAAATAAATCTTAAAAAAAAAATAGGAATGGAACAGCCCAGCTGAGCCCAGCCTACCTCAGCTGAGCCACAGTCAACTTGCAGATCTGAATGAGAAAGACTGCATCTGGGGGTAACTTGTTAAACAGCATTATTATGACAATAGCTGACTAATAAAGCTGATATATTTATTTATTATTTTTTAGTTCAGGAAGACTTGAGGGTTTTTTTTAAAGTTAGCATTCTTTTACTTATAAGGAGTTTAGTCTTTAATGTTGTATTTTCCGTTACATTTTAAACTTACACATTCTACAATTCTCTAGAAGGCACTCATTTGAAGAATAAAATTATTTTATATATGATTGGACTGCTCTTAAAAACTCGGCATCCTTATAATGATGCTTATGTTTTATTTAACTACAGAGCTATGTGGGCAGCAGAATAATGCTAGTTATTGCTAGCTAGTTCATTTAGCTAATAAAACATTTACTGAATACTCCCTCTATTCCATTCAGTATAGAAGTGTTTTGGATAGATAAGCAATTTTAACTGTCATAACAATCCCATGAGGTTTATATTGTTACAGGAGATGTAT